CTAAAATGGCCTCCACTCTGCGCTTGCTTCTGCCAGTGTGTTTAAATCCAATATACTGTGCAGCCATAGTATTTACATAGAAATAATTGGTGTAAAATGGCATAAATCAGCAGCAGTAATCTGAAATCTATAACACACAATCCAGTAGGTAGATAAACGGGCAGGAATAGCTTCTTGTTGCATCAGTCCATAACAAACAGTCTGTAATTTACCAACCTGAATTACTCCCATACTTATTGGAAAGCATTTTACATTTGCGGCCGCTGCATGAGACTGCATGGTTACAGCCGGATCAATATTTTACCCATAAACGAGACGCCACACTTGTCTAAGCTCTTCGGAAACATAAACTAAACCTCTGGGCCACCACAGATGCAAATGGCTGACGCACTCACAAGTCTATACTTCAAGAAAGTTAACTTACAGGGCGCATTACCGGGGGAACTGCTTACAGCTGAGGAGTCTGTGTCCACTCCTTCACATACTCCAAGCAGCTGGACAGTCTGGCCTATGGGGTTGGGTACCGAACTTTCAAACAACAAAATAATAACTATGTAATAAGATCCATCTGACTTGAACAATGAAGAAAACATTGATTTGATTTTAAAATTGGGTTGGTATGTCATTTTCCCTCTTTTTTTTCCCAATACGTGACATGTTATACCTAATTTTAAAGCTTAGAATCTTCAGACTTGATTGTAGCTTGTGAGTAAATAAACAACTTGGTTCAATTAAGTAAATCATATGTTCATGTCATCCCTCATTTTAAAGTTCTGAACCTGAATCCAGTTGATGAATGTGTTTTATAACCCATACAGTGGGTTGTAAAACAAGTTATTTGGGTTTTTTGGTTTTGAGTAATAAATATTAAGTTACGTTACTATGTTGTTTGTAGCTATCTAACGAGAGATGCTATTACTTCAAGATGTTTTATGTTGAAAGAAATTGTCTGATAAATTGGTCATTGGCAAAAGATTTCATTCCTTAATTGTTGATCCTAAGTACTAATGATTATACTTTTAATGAAAGCAACACATACATGAATTAATAGAATAAAATCATTGATCGAGGGTTTAAGAAAAAGCAATTGTATATTTTTATAACTAGTTCCTCGCTGTCAAAAAGTTTGGCTCCATCTCTAGTTTTAACACTCATGTATTTTTTTTTGGCCTGTCAGATCTTTAGATCAGCTTTTAGTGAAAATGAGGACCACTGGAGCAGAGCCAATCAGCTCTCAACCCAAAACGTCCAATAGTGACTCTTAGATAAAATGTTTTCTAATACTTTGTGAACAAATCAGAACAAAACATGCTGTATTCAAAGTATTTTTCTGTTGGGACAAAAACATTTATGACCAAGTGTAGACTCCCTTTAATGCACCTTTGGAAACAATGTGCAATTTATGAAAGGTAGAAGTGTGTTTTTTTTCTCTTATACAAGTGATGGCAACAAATACATTCAGAATACAATATGGAGAGAAAAAAGGAGGTACGGTGTCTGATTTTGATCTTGAATCCTCATGAAATATTAGTTGAGTAAATTATTTTGTAAAAGTCCATTGAAGGCCTGTGAATGGATAAAACCGTTTCCATTTGACGGCCTATTTAAAATCATTGCGTGAGCTTCTACCTCCCCCTGCTGTTCAAATATTGTCATTACATGATAATCGAATTCAAGATGAGAAACATTTCCTTTATATGAATTAAAACCGCCACTTTGCTTTTAAAGTCAGTTTGGTTTAACGTTTTCCTTGATCTAACGTAATGTTTCCCTAGCACAATGGTTGTAGCCGCACTAACTAGCTAACTAAGGCTAATAGATCCATGAACTAAGGGCGCTGTAGGCCTTCATGAAGAAAATGCATTAAAATGTCAATATAAACCAAAAACATCGATAATATAAAGAGGGTATTACGATAAAGAAAATTACGGACTAATTTTCTTTATAGTAATACTTTGCAATAAACTCCATCTTACTTGAAAAGACCTAGTAATGTTGAAAGGGGGCTGACATGTGCTGTATGTATAATAATATGTAGTCTATGGTACGTATGCATATTGTTCCATTAACAAAATAAACTATTTGTGGACAGTTTTATAATTAGAAAATAATTACACAGAACTTACCTGCAGCACGGACGTATTTTCTAACTACTTTTGCTGAAGGTGGAGGGTGACTATCTTTGCCAAAAAATAAATAAAAAAAATATCTTTGCCAGAATATTCTACGGTGTGGCATTTAAAGCTGGTATACCCAATTTTATATCCCAAAAATAATACATGGGATTAAAACATATTTGTAAGAAGCCCTGCAGTCACTGTTTGAGTTTTTGGGTGATTGGCTCAGTGGAGGCTTTCATTTCTCTGTTAGAACAAGCTGATATTAAGATTGGATTGGGAGCAAAAATAAATGCATGTGAAAAGTTGGACAAAACAAGATTTATATTTTTGGGAAGTCGCATTGGAGACAGAAAAACAAGATGATCGCAACAACAATACAGTTACAGATGTGTATTTTATTTGGCATTGATATAACAAGGATATATAGCAACAATAAAGCCACCAGTCTGATTTAAAACAGCTTTATTAAGTTACACTGTTAAAGATGTGTGAATAGTGGTGAAAGTGAAGTTCGATAGGATGAAGACAAAAAACCTAAGATTGTCTAATAATGCAATATACATAGTTGACAGCAAAAAGAGAAAATGGAGGCATGAAATTATATAGCCTACATCAACACCACTGGACATGACGAGAAACCATTCCCCCCAAAGGCACCCTTTCCAGAACAGCGAAATCCCAAACACGTATGGGCCATTTTGACAATGTTACAAATAAAATGATAAAGTCAAAACAGAGCTTATAAAAAGGAGAAATGCATTTGTTGGTTCCAAAAAAAAGTGTCTATTCTATAAGTGGTCAGCAATATTTAACAATTGTGCATCTACAGAGTGAATGCAAACCAAATAATTAATTTTACAAGCCAAAATATTGTTAAAAATGCCTCTTCAACTCTAACCCTAACCCACTTTTAAATAATCAATCAATGTGGATATTCCTTGATATGCTGGTACGTACTTTTCTTGTTCTGAACTGCAAATATGATTGCAAAACTCATTTCCATATTATTTTATTAGGGGAATTATACAGTCCATTTGCGTCGGATCAAATGTTTTGGAATGGCAAAAGGTGAATGAGTTTCTGGGAAAGCCAACAGTCTAGCTAAAAAGCTGCAGCCTACCCAAAGTACAGTGTAACTTTATATACAGACAAATTCCATTGCAACACAATTCGTAATTTTTGGATTGCCAAAGATTGCTACATGTTCAGTGGATTTAAATACATCCACTGTAGATCAATGTCAAAGCCAGAATGTAATGCTTATAATACAGTTTAATCCCCTCCGTTTGTACGGTTTTCAATAGCGTTTTACAAATATATATATTTTACTATTATTTTCTAATGGGAGTTTGCAGATTGACCTCTGCCATATTTGACCATTTTTAATCTTGCCAAAAAAGGAATACTTCTTACACACCAACAAAACAGCTGATGCAAACCATAACAGCCACATTCTAGTAGCGAAACGTACTAACTGCCTAATTAGGGCAACTTAAGGCCAACAAATGCCAATACAAGCACGTAGTTATTTTTTCTCAGGGGAAATACAATTGTATATCAAGCTCATTATTACTTCATCATGCGGTGATATGGTAAAATAACCAGCAATGAAGGGCATACTCTAAAATACTGAAAAGCAGTAACATTTTAAATATATCTCTATATAGAAAATATAAAAAGAAAGTACAAAGAACATGTAAAGTCATTGTGGTTAACCTAGCTTGTCGTTTAAAGCTTAAATACTTGAATTCCAAACAATACTGAACAAGCTGGTTATAGTCCAATTCAAACAGCATTAAAGCCAATTAAAGGAGGGCATGTATGTTTCAAAACAAAAAAAGCTTAGAATCATTTCAGAAATTATGTTATGTATAAAAATATCTGTCATTTTATCCTTTCATTGGGCGTCATAAACATTCCTCTTCCCCATTTCTCACCAAGGCAACGCTCACGTAACATTATTAGGGTGCATTTTCTGGGGACAGTGCAATTACAGTATAGACAGCCATCCGACAGCAGTACAATGAGATGTTGCATAACAAAACCCTCATTTCTTCTCATAACCGGATACCCTAAAACATAATACTGCATTTGTTAGTTTGCGCCAATCGAATATCCTTAAGGTCCACACCGCACGCTCCTTTTTCATAGATAATTATCAATAGGATGTGCATAAGAAAGTATAGTGCAATTTGTTGGGTCTCGTAGAGCTATAGAAAACGAGATATTGTAGATTTTTGCATCTAAATAGCAATTCAACACGCTTCCAATAGCCCGTAGCATACATTCCAGTTAAGTTTGCTGGTTAGCCGCTCAAGAAGGCAATTACCTCTGGCCATAGCTCCTGACAACATCAGTCATTCAGAAAACAATATAACATGGAATTTGGGTTGGGTCTTTTGACAGAGAAATAATAAAAGCAACAACTTAGAACCGCTTTTTGATGGATATGTTGCTGATAAGTCAACTTTGGTTTAAAAAGGTAACTTCTGTATACAAATGCGTGCACAACTAAAAAGATGTCTTAAAATGGCGTGGAGTAAGGAGGTGACAGGAGCCTAAGTATGTTGAGTGTTACATGCATAAAACCACTGCCAAAACAGTTCAGTCCACAACCTGATTCCGTTTTTTTAGTGTTTTGGAGCGTTCGGTAAAAAGTTTGGTCCATTTATGACATCAATAAAGTTTGGAAAGTGTAAAGGTTGAATATGTCCGAGATGACTGGAATGTCGCGCTGACGTTTGGCCCTTTATCATGTCCATCCCAACGTCCAGTTTTAGTTTTTTTCCCCCGCCCCATTTTGGAGCGGGGTTGATAGTATTGTCTGTTTTTCAATTTTTTGACTTCCTGCTTACACGTGTCAGCGCTTGGTGACTCAGTTTAAGACATGCTCGAGCAGCGGACCGAAGGGGAACCCATTTGAGTCAGCACCTTGTCCAACCACTGGAGGGGGCCGTTGAGATGGAGCTCGATCCAACAGGGAGTGCTGGTGACGGTTTGTCGTCTGCAGGAAAAAAAAATGCAAACGCAGTGTAAATCATTCACTCTGGTACCATCAGTGGAATGTAAAATATTATCAAAGGAATGCAAAACACTGAGAAAAACACATTTGATAATTCAGATTCACAAGCTTAAGTATAATAAAGTAAAAGACTTGATTCAGATATAGAATATGCCCTGATCTTTGAAGGCCCAGTGCTGAAAATGGCTTGATTAACAACTATGGTTATTAATTACAATTGCTTTTTCAGGACAGAAGAATGCATCATTTGTAATGTTTTCAATCCCAATTGAGAAAATTACTAACTTCATTCCGATACCATGAAACAAGACTCCAAAATGTCCATAACGTGCACTGTAAAGTGTATTAGCAACAGCGGAAACAAAGGTTTTTTATTATTTTTTGAGTGCTTCAGTTTGATTTCTGCTCATACGAAGCCCTGCACTGAAAGGGACACAACCAACCAACACCACTTTCTGTTCACTATTTAAATAAAAAGGTTTTTTTTTGGACAATGAGCAGAAATTGTTAACATACATATTACCATTCATCAATAACAGTTCTAAAATAGTACTTTTTAAACGACTACCATAAAGGTTCTATACTAGTTCTTAGATCAAAATCAATCAGAGAATCGCACATGTCCTGTTTATGTGATTGTTTTATTAGTTTTAATAGTCAATACTTATTAGCATATAGCATTCAATTTCCTATACTTGTGGAAAGTGTCTGAGTGTCAAGACATATGAATATCCATAATATTCTGAAATAAGACAGAAAAGTAAAAGAACAGGAGATCGGTCGCAGTCGGCACCTGTATTCTGCTCCCCAGCCCTTGACGAAGCTCATTCTGATGGTGCACATGCGGGTGAGCTGGTACACGGCCTCGAAGCCCTGATTCACAGACTGAGCCAGGAGCGCGGCAAACTCCTGGTTATTGAAGATCTTCAGATTGCATCCTGTGAACAAATGATTGATATCGTTAAAATTCAATTAATTGTCATTTCTGTAGCACTTTGTGGTTTCCTGGAAATGTAAGGTGCAATAAAAATAAAACGTTTCTTTCTCACTGAGCAACTCTAATAATTGCACAAAGTAATACATGTTACTGTTGCTGTTGATTTTTAGATTTAAAGATTCTCATGACGATTAAAATGGCCCAGTACCAAAATGATTCTTCACTTTCTAACTCATTCCAACCATCCATATCATGTACCACAACAGCAGGTCACTTTCTGAGAACCAAATGAACCAAATTTCTCTTAGAAAGATTTCTCATCATAGATTTTAGGGCAAGTACCACAGTATTTCTATTTGTTGTTTGTGTATTCAATGTGATTTTATGTAAATTTCAAAAGATCACTTCCCACACGTGCACACCATGGTTTCCACATTTCTGTCACACATCGCATATATTTGTTTTGCCAAGAGTGAAATGTTGGAAGTTAAGACTTTCAGATGAGTCACTGTGTGGGAGTTGAGAAACACAAGCACATTGTGGATGACATCAGCGTTCCTCCTTCACTGCTACTGTGTAAAAAAACAAACTCAATTCATGCTCTCCACATCCTGACGAATGACACTAAAGGCATGACCTTTTCACTCAATGTTTCTTGTTATGACTTGTTACCACCCTAGTGCTTTACAATTCAAATATAAGATAACGTTTTTGGTTCTCCTGTTCAGAAACTGCGGGATTGGATGGAAACCAACCTATCTAACCAACTAACCTTTGTTATAATAATCTGGTATATTTACAGTGTATTTAAAGGTGTTCAAAATGGTCTAGTGTTCCTATCAGATAGATTCAATATTAGGTGCATTAATCTATTCGAGAACCATTTCTATTTATCAAACAGACTTCAATAAAAGATGGGAATTTCTTTTTGACTCAATTCTATGATGGCTGGGGAATTAAATTAAAATGCTTTTATTTTTTTAAATCAAGGAACTCTATGTGTAACGAGTCATGTCTATGCTAGAGGTGCATCACTGAAGCTGTTTTTGATCATGTGTATAAAAATAAATCCATATTCACAGACCTTTACATATATTACATACTTTTAAAGGTGATAAAACACTATGATAATCAATGACAGATAGAGAATAATGAATTATCAATATTGAGCTGAAACACTGACAGGCATTTTTTTTTTCTTTAGAGGGGAGAATTATGTGCACAAGTCGGGCGAATCATTCACATCACTGATCAGAAAATAAAATTGGCTGAGCAAAGTAATTATACACAGTGGGAAATGTTTGAATCGCTCTAAAAACAGCAGCAAGTGCATAAGGGGAGACCACTATAACATGATTCAAAGCTGTGAAAAGTGGATGAATGTAAGCAGCATGCGTGTTAAAAACCTGATGGTATCTTGCAGACGGTGGCCGGGTGCCAGCCGTATCGTTGGTTGCAGTTGGGGCTCTGAACAAAAATGGCACTGTCACTGAGGCACTCTGCAAAGACCTCTCCACCGATGTAATACAATCTTACACCGCGACCTGCGAACGGAAAAATGCAAATATAAGTCACAGTCCCAAGCACAAAGCTGGAATTAGCAAAATATGGCTAAATCTAATTACAAATAATCACAGTTTGACAGAGTTAACCCAATTCTCACTAGAGATGCAGACATAAGAGTATTTATATATTAATATACTAACATTTCTTTGGGCTTAAGTCTCAAGCAGCAGTATTTTGTCTGTTTATCCAGTTAAACAAGAGTCAGAGATGAGTTTGTACAAATACAAATCATGTATAATTATATAAATCAGACAACATAGAAAAATACAGCTGTTTAAAAGTTTGCACACTTGGGCAGGAATGTTGTATTGCTGGGTATGTTTCATAGATTATGAATAACACAACACAACAACTTTCAGGTCGCCGTCAGTAATTATGGCGGTTTGAGAACATTCCAGGACTTCAAAAGTGGATTTTCACTTTTCCATGACTCAGAAATCCTTTACTAATCATTCATTTATTTCATTATTCTATCAACTTCTTCCTCTTTTCTGATAACACAATGACATTGATGTACAGTAACAACAGTAGTAGCCAATAAGTAATACACGTTTCCATTCAAATAAACAAAGAAATGATAGATATTTATTGCCGAAATAAGAAAATGGAAGAAGACATTCATTATTAAGAGCCACACTCATACAAATGTAATTAGTCAAATGTAATACCTTCTTTAAAAGAGGCATTACGGAGCATTCATGGACGTTTATGAAAATGTATGTAAATTGGTCATCTCCTCCCTATGACCCCACCCCATGTCATTATTGCATTTCCTGTGTTAGAATAGTTTGATTCTCTGATCTCTTGTCGATGACTGAACAAATTTGTAAAGTCCTTCGAGATCACTGCTGTGGAGCAGAATTGAACTGAATCGTCAGCCCACCCGAACAGCAACTGTGGTACGTATGGTACACTACGGTGCGGTCCAGCCCGCCAGTCCGGAGCCAGTACATACCCTTTGCTAATGCGTTCAGTCCTAAAACCTACTCCATGATTTCTCACATCGAGTTTGTACCTATATGTCGCCGTGTCATTTCCACCGTTGCGTTCCTGTTGACGTTGCTGAGAAGTCCCAGGCAGAAGCGCTCAGAGTTGGACGGGTCGGTGAAGCCGTCCACGGTCAGCGACGGCTGCGAGGCGTGAAAAGTCTCTCCCACGCGCTGGTTCAGCTCGTAATACGCTATGGAACACCAGAAAGCTGGTTCGCTGTAGGTGACCGGCTGAAGGTCTGAAGGACAAAGCAAGAAAACTATTTACAAACCACGTGATCGCTGAAGTAACAGAAAAAAGGGTACTTCTAAATGTCTCACATGCAATACCCCCTTATGTGGGCCAGTATGAATATCAGCAGCTAAAAAGAACAGCGGCCCCTCGTTTTCACTGGGGATACATACTAAAACAAGCTCACCTTATTCTGCGTACACTTGACTGGTGTTTTTTTTTTTAATAGCAATGTAAAAACCCCAGTTACAAGATCATACTTAATCCTAAAGGCTTGAGTCATACAAATGCAGTTTGTGATTATTTATTTGATTATAATGTGAGAACAAATGCTCCTTAAAAAATAAAAAATAACAATAAATAACAAAATGTATTAAAAATTAACAAATATGGAGTTGGATGAAAGTTGGATGATCCAGCAAAGCCATTTCATAAATTTGTAACTATTCTATACTTCAGACGTCAACAGTATCTGAGCGAGGGTCCAAAGCTCGAATTCACTAAATAGGTCCATATCATTGAGATCAAAACAGCACTAATTGCAATTTCAGACATGTGCAAAATTGTCACTAAACTATTTCTACACAATACTGTATGTGCATTTTAGCTCTACATGAACACAAGCACCTTGGCTAGCAAGCGCTGTCACATATGAAGTGTCACACGTTTGTGAAGCTTATGAACGTTTCTGACTGATTCAGGAGCTGTGTTCTGTGAAAGTAATTTCAGGTTGGTTTGATTCAGTACAATCATTAATTTATGTCTTAAATCAAGAGTTTCAAAAAATGACAATATCTTGAATACACCGAGTTCATAAAACTGACTACTATCCTCTTTCCTACTGTTCTATAACTTGTGATGCAACACCGACATTTCCCCACTGTGGGACAAATAAAAGATATTCTGTCTATTTAGGCTTGTTTGCAACCAAAAAAAATACAACTTAGTTGGCCTTATTCAAGCAAAAATACTCAATTCTAATCCCATATTCAACATGTAAAATTCGGTTATTACACTTTTCTATTTTTATGTAATGCATTTTTTATTTTTTTTTTATCAATCAATGTAAGAAAGACGAATAAAATGGAACAGAAGGCATGTTTTCTTCTGCGTAAAAAAGACAGACGCAGATATAGTGAAGAGTTACCTAGAGCATGGCTGACTGGAGATAAAGTACTTGGAGACATTTCTGATGGAGAACCTGGAAGGAAGAAAACATCATAATTTAACTTGTTTTAAAGTGATACTGTTAAACCCAACCACAAATACTGAGCAGGAAAGGCCTACCTGACTCCACACTCTGATTCATCTGCTGGTCGCTGGTCTCCCCATCCTCACTTATATATCCAGGCGGAGGCGTTTCTGAACACAATCATGGTAAAACAAATATTTGTAAAGATTATAGAACTTTCTGAAAGATATTTGCTCTGAATTATTACAAAACTCAGAATGTATTATTATCTCACCTGGTATATAATTGTTTGGAGGGTCAATTCCAGCAGGGAAGTTTGTGTTTTCAGGAATAGAATTCGCAAAATCATCTAAAGGAGGAAGCTCTGTCAGAATCTCTGTGTGGCGTGGCACCAGCACTGGGGGCAGCACTGAAACACAAAACAATGGTTCAAGCAATAGGGGAAGTTCATGCATGTCTCACAAGACAGAGGAGTTTAAAGTTGTGTCAAAGTACACATTCACATGACGGAGCCAGCACCACAGACCTTACACGGGCTAAAGAGGGGGAGAACAGGGTCCATTTGGATTCATGTTTCCTTTTCTTGGAGGTGTGAGTTGAAGATCCATCTGACAAAGGGCTCCAGCAGATCCTCATGAAGCTGAGGTCTGACAGGGTCCCTCTGCCAACAGAACCAACTCACAACCCAGTGGCCGCCTGAGGGGAAAGGTCCACCCGAAAAGGTCCACATGCCAAATTAATATGGGCATTGAACACATTCTATAACACATCATGGCCCGGGGATGATATTTGATCAGCATTAGAACCGGCCCGCACAGAGCCATAAGAAAATATTGGATTATTAATTGAATCATTACATTTGTTTTGATATGTTTTAATAAATATTGTAGCAAATTTGTTTTTATTTGACTTTGACATCCCTGCTCCAGAATTCGAAGGAGCTGGTTCTGAATCTGAGCAGTTTCAGCAGCACCCCAGCGTGCAGAACCGGCACAAAGGCAAAGTGTACAGGATCAATAATTACAGCCTTTCCAGCGGACACCTTGAGGGACTTAGCAGGTGGGTTTTATAGCCACATGTCTGGAGGATAATTACCAGGCGTCTCCACTCTCTGGTAATGGTAGGGGTTGACACACACTTCGTCCTTCTTCAGGTTGAAGGCGTACTGGCAGGTGTCGATGGCGCGCAACTCGTGGTGGCTGTGGAGGTCGGGCCATCTCCACAGGCGGCAGTAGATGACGTGGGGCAGGCCTTTGCGATGAGAGACCTGGAGGCGGCCATCCAGTGACCTGCCAGCGAAGTGACACAAGTGAGAACAGGATACAATTTTTGAGTTAAAATGACTTTAATTCAGAATGTGTCCCTACTTTAAGCCACAGAATGGTGTGCTATATGATGTGTATGACTTATGATAATGATAGGAACAAACTTCCTGAAAATGTGTGACACGTTTCTTCTGACAATGTTTAAATCCAGGTTAAAAAGAATTCCGTATAATGATTTGAATGCTATCTTGCTTTGTTCAGGACTTGTTTTCTTGTGTATGAATCGCGCTATAAAAAATAAACTTGGCTGCAAGTGTGTGTTTATGAGGGCTATTTGTATCACACTATTTAAATGCGAGGTTTATGTTAGACAGTTTTATTAATATCTACCCGCATGACAAGAAAAATCCAACATAAAGTCATTCTTGCTTAAATCTCCTTTTCTTTACCTTTATAGAAAAGGTATTTGGAAAAGAGAAATTTCCCTACAACCAAATGAGTTGAGAGTAGCAAACACACAGCATTGGATTTATGGAAATATAAATACACAAGAAACATACACAAATATTTAAAAACTAAACATCAGGAGGAGCTTGTTGGGATGTATTCACCTGCCGTGGTCTTGGTATCCGTACATGCCTGCGGACTCCCACTGCTCTATCGTGTGGCCTGAGCCTAGCCCCCAAAGATCTGAGCAATTGCTATGGAGGACAGACATACAATGCAAAAAGGATCAAAAATAAAAGCAACGAGATGGAAAACATATCTTATGTGAATGAACAGAGACGACCACTGTTCATTCAATAAGAAACAAATGGCATGATCATGATTTAACACAGAACACACATGAAGGGTCAGAGTCAGACGATGCTAAAGGAGAGAGGATTTCCAAAGAGTTCAAATATATTGGATGTTAGAGAATGGTTTTGTATTAAATGCTGAGACAAATGGGGAAAAAAAATTATTATGCTTTTGAAAAAACAAAAAAACAATGGTATCCTTTTAAGGATCATCCTCCCTGTACAGGGAGGATTCAGTTATTTTTCATTTAATAGCATCAGTATTAGAATTCACTTGTGTCAATATAGTCAAGCTATATCTCTTTTGAAAGCTTATTCCCACCCTCTATACGCGTATTATGTTCAAATAAACATTAAATATAACCAAAAGTAAGAATAAGTAGTCAAACTGTATATATATTTAAAATATATATTGTCCTTTCTTACCTTGTCATGCTAATATTCTGGGGCAAATCACGTCTAATCCACACATGTGTGCATTCGTTTTGTTTGTTAGGGTCTAGAGAATAATTATATCCAGTTGTTTTTTCTTCAAAGTCATCCTTATAGTAGATATCCACTTGCAACAACATATTTGAGTATTGAAAGTTGCACAAACAAAAACAAAACCTGTTCTTTGCGCACTGTATGAAGAGGACATTTTACTGTTTAGCTAGCGTCACTGGGTATGTTCGTCTTCCTCTAAGCCTCCCCTTCAAAACAAGCCCATTCCCGGACTTTTCAGTGCTATGGTTTGGAAGGTAGAGTAAGTTGAGTAAAACAAGCGCACCTAGCTTTAGCGCTCCATTCACTTAGATCTCTGTGCGTCATGACAGCATTGTCTTGACTACTATTGGCCGATTTGGATGTCAATCAAATCATCTTGTAGCCAAGAATCTCAGGTTTCAGGCGATGTGTCGGACTTCTAGCTTCCTCCCACTGTTGCCGTCATATTTGAATGCGTAAAGAGGAAGACGGAGCCTTTTTCACGGAGAACGCGCGCTATAACTATATAAATAATAGCTTTTCTGCAAACATTTCAATATCTGGAAAAAATGCTATTTATAGTTACAGTAATAGCCAAAAAATTATATAAATGGATTTTTGGTGTAAAAACATTGATAATTTGCATGTAAAACACTTTGGCACAGTTGGCACAAAAATGGACCACTTGTGCCGAATGTGCCCATTAGTTACAAAAAAGCCCCCAGCATCAAAATAGTTCCACCTAAAGGTCTAAAATTTCATACAGGTGTTGCCAACACCACAAACATCTGCTCTGGTGAGTTTGAACATCATACCATAAAGTATGTCTTCAGGAGAACCTTTTAAAATTGCCTTTTTTTTTTTTTGACAAAAAAAAATAACTTTGACTCATGTTTGAGAAGGTGTAGTGCAGACTGTGTCCTTCCTAACAAACTGTAACATACATTTTCAGAAACTAGAAGGTGTTACCTTTCAAATGAGGCCTCATAACACAAAATCAGACATAAGATGTCCACACAATAAGCATTTCCATTTGGGTATCATAATTCGAGAAGGAGCAGGCGAAATTAGGTGGTTTAAAGGGTTAAATGAGTTTGTCTATTTGAGATACAAGATTATGATATTGTCGCTCAGAAAATAAAAGGAATAACTTTGCTATAGTTCATTAAAAACATACATGAAAAAAGTACATTCATCAAAACTGAAGGTGATAATTTAACTATTGTAATCATGCTCAGTCCCAGTCTATAGTTGCTTTTTTGCCTTGCCTGAAACAGCTCAATTTGATTTAAAAAGGAAAAAAAACCTTTATAACCCCATTTATTAGAGTGAACACAAAAACAATGCACAGATGTAATGACATGACAGCACAATGAAAGTGTGTTTTTGGTGCTTCCGGAGTTCTGTAGTGGAACAGTGATATGCGGCTTGTAATCAGGACACTTATCACCACTTGAGCACTCTGAAGGCCCACCACCACTGGCCCCTGAAATCTATCTCCAGATACAGCCGATGACTTCCGCTGCCTCTTGTTTGTTAATTAGAATACGTTTTAAAATAACACTTGGTTTGAGGGAGCATAAAACTACTTTAAGTGAATAGAAAGTTGATATTTTTAGTAAATTTGACCCTGACCCAGCGGCTGTATGAATGGTCAGTGTGCCGTCTTCACTTTCCATCATAAAGGTCTAAAGGATGCTATAGAATCATCTGTTTGGAACACTTTTGCTTCTGTGGGACCCCTGCCCCAGTAAACCTACAAAACAATTGAACCTGGAGCACCGTAGATCCTCTAGACTCAAAAGAAGCTGAAGATACTAAAAAATTGTATGAAAACTAGGTACTAGTTACTAGCAAAGTTAGATGCTACTTCAAATTACATTAACAGGACAAAATTTCATATTTCACAAGCATTTGAGAGACTATATTCCACTCGTGCATTTTCAAGTGTATTACTATTTAAAAAGGTATTGTATTGTTATGTATTTTGTCAATGTCAAAATCAAGCTTCAAATTTAATATTGAAACAGCACTAGTTCATTTAAGACAATAGCTTGAAGTTTTAGATTTTATTAGTTAAACCTTTAGGCGCTTGTGTTTCCAAAAATGTGATCGACAGACAGTGGTGCCCTATAAACAAGATGGGGGACTACTACAATCAATAACATACATAAAAGGTAAAAGAAAAGTGCAGTTTTGCTACTTTTCTGCCAAAAGGGTAAAACAGCTTGACAAACAATGATAAAAGAAATAAATTCATAGGCCTTAGAACAACAACCTAAATTTGGTCAAGCGGTAAACCACTTCCACATCACTGATTCAAAACCGCACAAGTGTCTTATCAGCAGCTTTAGTCTGCACAGTAATCTATCCTCTTGTATTTCCAAAACAGTGAAGGAACAGTTTAGTTAGCAGCATATCTGTATCTTTCAAAATAAAAACTTCCCATCTCCTGTTTGAGGTCACTGTATTTTCCGCCACAGTTTCACACGAGTAGTACCCACACTGGCTATCATCTCCAGACAGGGATTATCAGACGCACTTTTGTCCTCTGAAGTAGCCAGGAATGTTGAAGAAGTGTGGAAAGACAACCATAAAAAACGTTCAAGTGCTGCCATGTTAAAGCCGGAGTACCGAACATTGACCACAAATATACATATGTAATAAAATCCATGTACTTGTAACATCTTCCTAGCCCTCAAAACTGTTTGGTTCTATCCTTAGTTTTCACATGTATTACTATGGTGGCCTGGCCTCTTGCAGATATTTAGATCAGCTCTTTGCAGTGAAAAAGAGTGCCAGCCCTCACTCAGCCAATCAGCTCTCACTATGCAAAAGATCAAAAGGTTTTCTAATCAGACGAAGAAAGCTGTTGGGACCAAAACGAAAGCAATTTATGAAACAAAAAACAAACATAGGTGCCCCAGCCATAACTCGTTCTTCCATGCAGTTCTAATTGAGTTCAACAGAAGCAAAGGCTCAACGCAACCTTCCCATTCATTTTAAGATTTCATTAAGCAGAATACAAGCCTCAAAAATCTAAAGTTTGATCATGATTATTCAGAAATAATCATGATTATACAACATAATAATATATTAACATACAAGATCTATAATGTTATGTGAACCTTAAATGTGAAGTGTCACCTGTGCTTAAATTAAGGCTAAAGATAATTCATCCATCCATCCATCTTCTACCCTTTAATCCATTTCTGGGTCAGGGGGGTGGCAGTCAGAGATGCCACCCAAGTCTCATAGCACCAGCCCCTCACTGACCCTCTGCAGGTGGTGAGTCCACAGGAGGACAGCTGCTCTCTGACTGTGAGCATAGCCTTGATCTTTCAGTGGGGGCTTTGGGCAAAGTGGGGTTAAGTGTCTTGCCCAAGGACACAACGACAGCAGTCATCAGTGGGAGTCGATGGAGAAGGTGCAGAGGTGGGAATTGAACCCACGACCTTCTGGCCTTAAGGCCAATGCTCTACCAACTGAGCTACTGTCGTAAAGATAATTCCATTCGGCAAATCTTCATTTAATTCTTAGATATTTCCTCTAATTAAAGCTTTTTTTGTAGGCTTTAAATACCAGCAACCCCTTAGAATATGATTCCCATTCTATTCACTTAGTTTGAGCTCTCTTTAATAGGTTTTTGTAAGCGTATAATGTTATTTATTCAGAAGTATATCTTTATATTCTGAACTGATGCGCAACGTAAACAGTTGAAATTTATTTTCTTGTACATCAAATATGCTTTTTAATAGTAACATAGGTGCTTCCTCAATTGTGGTTTCTGTTCTCCTGACCTACTACCCTTAAACTGTGAAATGCAGAAGTCCAACCAACATTACACAATAAATACCATTTTGCAAACCTCCAAATGAAATATTGCCCTGGTTTCACTTTTGCTCTTACAATTATCTAAATTAATGAGTAAGTTTACAAAGCTCAAGTGACAACAGGATAACACGACACATGTGAACCCGTGAGCACCGATTCATGTGTGAAAAAGGTTTATTTGGCGTAACAGGATCAAACCAATTCAAAATTTTTTGGATAACCATGTAACCCAGATTCTACAAAGCAGAAGGAAAACGCTTATAATAGAAATGTATGTATTTGGAAGCATATTGGCAAACATTGAAATAAAGTAGTCTGCACTCGTTTTGTGTTTGTTTGGTTTTGTTGCAATATCGGGGAAGAGAGATTAATTGCTCTGTGGAAATTAAATGCGTGATTATATTAACCAAAGGTGATCTTAGGCAGCACATGACCACAATTGCATATACAATTACTGTTCAAAAGTTTTGAGTGCTACGGTAAAGATACAAGACGCCTTTGAAAATGTCACGGGTGGACCCAAGAAAAAAAAGGCGTCAGCTTGACTGCGCAAATGGAGATCCACACCAAACAAGCTCCTGCTTCAATCAGACACATGTAAGTAAGTAATGTTATGATATTTTCCCACTCTCTCCACATGACAATGACGGAAGCAAGACAGCGAACACACTGGCGCATCACGCCCCCAATCAACACCATCCATTCATTCAATCCTTTCATAAAATACTTTTTAAAAGACATCTATTGGTAAATTAGTATTATATAAACATGTAATATCACAACTTGTTTGTTATTGTTTTAGTATAATTATTGTCATGTATTTTGTTAATGCACTTTGCTTGACTCCAGGAAGAATAGCTGTGTTGAACAGCTAATGGAGATCAACATAAATACAGATACAAATCCATTCAGAACTATTGTACATGGTTTAAGTGGTAGGAAAGACCAGAGGAAACCTACGCAGACACGGGGAGAACATGCAGGTCCAAACGAACCCAGGACATTCTTTCTGTGCCACCCGGTGTGCAATGTAGCACTTATACTTAATTGCAAAAAAGTCCTGGGTTTGATTCTACCTCCTATGTACAGTAGTTCAGGATGGTTGAGTGAGTGTGTGCATGTGAATGAGACTGTGGGACAAGGCTTCAATCTGGTGTATTTACAGCACTTACTGTTCATCAATACACTGTTCGATCCAAAATAAACAAGACGGCCACATGTAGACTGGGACCAGAATCATTAGATGGGTTTGGGAGCAACGCTAAATTCTGTTTTTTAGCAGACGGATATTAATTATCAAAAGAACTGATCAAGTATGTCAGTTTAGAATATTAAAACCTTTGCATAGGAAATATAAGAAATAGTAACGGTGAACACGGTTTGAACACAAAATAAATGCAATAGGGAAAACAAGAAACACACGGCAAATCATTACGTAACTCTAAAATGTGAAGTGTAGCCACCCCTACCTTGGTATAGTCACACATTTGGTGTTGCTGTTCTGTGTGCTGATGGCCTTCTCCAGTTCATCCAGCTGTCCAGTTTTCTTCAGCTTCTTCACCAAGCTCTTGACTGCCTTCTCGCACCACTTCTCCTCCTGCCCGCCGCCATTCTGCTCTCCGATGCCCCCACTTCCACCACTACCAGTCCCAGTTGGGCTCTTCTTCCAGCCTAAGAGGCGCTTCACCACCGGGGGAGTGAAAGGCAGGATGGAAGACATGGTGGCTGAAGACGAGTGCGTTCAATGTGATGTGAAATGTGTTAAGAGGATGTTTGAAGTGTTGTGTAGGTGGAGTCGATATAAAAACTGCTGGCGTCTGGAACTGCTGGATTTCAGTGATATTCAAGAGCTGAAACTTAAGGCATTTGTCCTCGGCTGTCTGAAGTGGAAAGAAACTGAATTGATCCAATCAAACCTAGACGAGAGAGAGAAGAAATGAGAAACATTTCAATATTATCTTGCATTTCACAAGTTAAACAGCATTGCTAAACGTTTTTTACAGACCATTGTACAAGAAACAAAGTAACACAAAACAATCAAAAACATTCAAAACATAAAATAAATAAAAAATAAATAAATAAAAATACTTTTTTGGTCTAAGTCCTATTATAAAAGGATAGGAAAAAGTAAACCTGGCAGTACTGCAAATATTTACAAACGATAGAAGTACCAAAAGTAATGTGGTGGGTCAGACCATTCTGATGATCAGAAAAGTGAAAGAACTTCTGATAATAAAAACTAAACAAAAAAATGTGTTAATGCAATAATGCATATACTACAAGTTACAAAAAGTGACCACTATTAAGTTAAAACACCTAAAAGTTCAAATACATTCAAACCATAATATTAACAATAAAGACTTTAAACAGTCCCATTATAAATATAGGATAAAGTACTACTTCCAATATTACATAAGATACACATACCAAAAGTAATAGCCCCATGAGACGATACACCCAAACAAAATGAGGTAAACCACTTGAAAAAAAAGTTAAGAGTTGTAACACGCCGAAATCTGGCAGAACAAGTAGAATATAAGCCCGGTGTTTGTCCACAGATCCAACAAAGCAACTTCTTATTAAGCAGCTTTAGCTAAACTCTCTGCCGCTGAGAAAAACTTCTGTGAGAAAATCTACTTTACTTCAGCACTACTTTTTTAACTTGTGTGAGATCGATGTTTCTGTCTGGGAGACTCCGGAGAAAGTGCAAACACAGGAAGTCGTCCACAAACACGAAAATTAAATAACAACATTAGACGCTCCCGAAAGATATTGTGGGCAGGTTAAGTGCTGTGGGTCATTGATCGACGAGTCTCAAAACACAGATACCCATGATGTGGATTTGTTATCAGTGCTGCCGTGGAGAGAGGGATGTCAGCAGAGAGGTTCTCTTAAAGTCCAGGCTTCTTCTAAGAATTAATTTCCTTGGCTTAACCCTTGGACTGCTTAAACCTAGTGCAAGAATACCAGCAGACGAAAGCATGTCTCAATCAATTCACTTCACACTGCCCGAGTGCCCAGGCAACTGGCAAACATCAACCTTGCTTCTTGTTGGACTTTAAAGCTAGAGCAGTTTCATAAATAAATGTGTTTGTCCCAACAGAAAGTCTTGTTTAAGTAACAATTGTAAAAGAACAAAATCAGGCAAGTACAAGCTATCTCATTTCAAAACGTTTTATCCTTTACACACTGAGAGCTTATGTTTTTGAGTTAAACTGAAAAAGCTGAAAAAAAGATGAGGGAGAGGCAAAAATTATTATCTATTATTTTAGAATTATTGTACAATTATTTGTTGTTTCACAGTGAGGTAGTAAAGTTTAAGGTCAATTGTAAAGACTTTCTATTCTACGGAAGTATGGACAGCTTAAGTATATTTTGGTACTAAAATAAAATGTGAACAAAACTAACAATAGAATAGTTGGGTTGTGTGAAAATTAAAAAAAAGATCAAAATCACAGTTATTGACACATGCGTCCAAACTGAGGGACACTGATCATGGGGCTGAAGGACTCATTCTTTGTCTAAACTCACAGTTGAGTCAAAATTGAGACAAGGACTGCATGTGTCATTTTTCTAAAAAGCTTATATTAAATATGCACAATTCAATTTGATTAAATTCGTAAGATATATAAAATTTGAGATCTAGATTAAACAATGATACTCATTTTTTCCTGGTTCTCAGCTCCAATTACCATAAAGCATAATAATCTTAGTAATTAGTTATTATAGTAATTCAGTATTTTTTTATCGTTCCATCCATTAGTTATTGAGGGATAGATCGTATTTATAGTCATACACAAATGTACAGCCCAAAATGTTGTTTAAGATAATGGTACAATTTGTCTCAAAACTGTTTTCCACCTTATAATGAACAATAGGCAAGCCATTATCAGTACCAATACAGGTCTGTGCACCTTTTGTTATTTGTATTATTCATATCCATCTGATAATTCTCCCATTCAAGTCACCTTACCTGTTGATATTATTTCTGATGTTTATTCTCATATTCTCATATTCTCTGCTGCTAATGTATAATATAGACATCTGTAAATACTCCGAACCAAGTGCAATTGTAGCCCAGATTTTCTTATTTTATTTTATCTTAAATTTATTGCCTATTATCTTAAATAATAGACTTTAATGTGTGCAATCTGAGTGCTCTTATTTCCTTTCTCTGCTGTAATGTGCAACGATGACACTGAAATTTCTCCACTGTGAGACTAATAAAGGTTTATCTTAGGTTTATCTTTGTAGTGCATAGCCTAAACCCGTTCGGTTTGTCAATCTATGAATTGTTTCCTGTTGACCAATGTAATGGCCACAGAAATTATAAATACATGTATAAAGGGTACAAAACTAGTGTAATAGTATGTTTAGCAGTAAATAATCGACTAATGAAAATATACTATCCCTTCCTTTCACAACTACACAATGTGCAATCCGTCTAATCTTTGACTAAAACCAAATAGCAAATAATCTGTGAAACAAGAGACGCTGTATCCTTGAAATAACAGGATATAGATGAACAAGTGTATTTTTGTTCACTCCAAGCAATCTTCTTAAACATATGGAAACAAATTATTTTAACAGGGATCGCTTGCACCACAAACTGTTTCCCATCAAAATAAGCATAATCAGAAAGGTATAACAGGACTGTATCTGCACATGCTCTCCTCTACATAATATAAATAAACAAAAGGCTATATTTATGGACGTGCACAAGTAGAACATGGAAGCAAAAAAAAAAAACACAAACATGCATGATTATACGTCGTCTTTCTGCAGACTACGGTGTTTTTTCAGGGCCTTGTGAGCAAATCTTGCACATTGTTTAGTCTGCAGTGAGTGTTTTTGCGTGAGAACGACCTGGCTGTATGTTTGGGTTACCTTTCCTGCACACACATCGCTAACATTCACACGCGCTATGAAAAGGCTAGGCTACAGTAGCTTTCCAACAATAGAATAGACAGAAGCTAGAACTAACCATTGTGTTGGACAGGGAGCGGATAGCACAGTAAGCTGCACAAATACTGGCTTCTTTTGTCAGCGAGAAAATGACGGATCCCCCCCATAAACTACAGCCACATCCTCCCCCTCCACATCTAAAAAACGAGTAGGGAAAAATCCGCTAGCGAGCTACTTTTGTGTCACAGACAAATAAACAGGTCGACTGCATGCTTCCTCGCACAAAAAGCATGTCATGACGGGGGTAAAACAGCACGCTTACCCGCCGAGGAGCTCCACGGACGCGATCATTCACTCATGTGCCTGTCATAAAGGCCGGAGAATGCATGTTAAAGACGTTTAAAGATACTTTTGAGGCAAACAGAGCCGTGTTACGATGATGGCCCCTCATTCAAAGGGCAACCAAACCTGTATATGGCTGGAGCATTGCGCTGTAAGAGACGAGAGAGAGCGTAGGTTCTGCGGCGGTGACTCCTGTGGCGGCCATCTTGGGTGTTGATATAGAGCAGAATTGCTAAGAGCCCCATTCCCACCGGGCGAGAACACGAGAAAACACACGTGTTTTATGTGTGGATCGGGTGAAGAAGGTTGTAAAACAGCACATGAGGGAAAATATAAAATATAGCCCACGAGTACAAGTGTAAGTATAATGCTCTTACAGTCAAAGTTTTGGCTGTGTATCATAAATCCTGGATGCACTGCGCCTTGATCTTGCAAGATTACAATTAAGTGTGTTTTGACCATAGACAGTACAAAATGAGGACTGCAAATGGCCATTTTTTGTAATTAAAACTACTAGATTTTCACTCATGTTGAGCCCATAAGCTGCCGAGTGGTCCCTCTGGAAAACATGCTTTCAGCTCTCCCTGCACTTGCACCAAACAGCAACACCTGCGGCAAAAAGCAACAATTGCGGCGGGATGACACACTCCTGGACCACTATTGAGGTGAGTGTGTGACCATGCTGGCAGCACTTCTGGCAAAAGATTGACATGCATAAGTTTCAAATGCATGATACATTTGGGACATGCAAGGCCGGGTTTGAACCCAGAATCTAATGGGGTGTACAGACCGCAGACACTGGGACGTAGCTTCCGCGTGCACCGGATGTACATTCTCTAAATTTCAGACGGTAGGCGTGTTCAGACCGGAAGTCCTGGTTTGCAGTGGCGCCTGTAGCGTCTCTTTGTCCAGAGACCTTCCAGAGACTTTATATAAAAGCAGTATGTGTTCACGGAAGTGCCCAAAAGTTTATTTCATTATTAAATGGTATGCATCGGTGAACGTGCTAGCTGCACTAGTTAAGTCACTAGAGAATGAGAACTCAGGCTGGAGGCATATGTTCACAAACACGGTGTCCCCCATTGTCAATCCTGGTTTCGTTCTGGTTTAGTCCTGGTGTAGCTCCTGTTTTGGCTGTTTACGACTAATTTCAGTCTGCTCGCTAGACCGCTATCGTCTAGCATGATCAGGTCTGAGCGCCCCATAAAAAAGTTTTTGACTCATTGAAAGTCATTGTAGGTTCCGCGGCATAGTTTCGTTCCCACAGTCAGACCTACAGGAGTGGAGTCAGACTGCAAAGATGTTTTCCTTATAACCATGATCTAAACAATATAATAACCTTTCCCACTGTTATCCCGGGTTGACATGGTATAGATCTGGGAAACATCTTAGAAAGTAATGTGCAAAACAGGGTCATAAAATATTAAGATTTAAAACATTTAAAACATGGAGTAAGACCATGGAAACCAGACT